GACCTTGAGCAAGTCAGGATCACAGACAGATCATCAAAGCACAAGGCACTTGGAGCCTCCGAAAGCCCGAGCCGACTTTTACCAAAACTGAGACGGTACCGGTTGACTCCAAAGGCCCCTCTGACTCGCAGGCCACCCAGGCAACCGCCAGTCCTGCGAATGGCGAGGAGGCTGCAAAGACCGAGGATGGCAAGACCAAAAAGCCCCAAGATGGAGCGCAAGCTGCCAAAAAGCAGTGTCAATCCCAAAGGGCTGTGCCGGAGACTTTGACCATCCAGGCCATCCCGACTGACGGGAACTGCCTGTTCGGGGCGTTTGCTGCAGGACTAGCCCTTGTCAATGGTAAAGCCCCGCTCCATCCCGCCCTGCTGCGTGCACAGGTTACTCAACACTACAAGAAGTACCAGCAAACGTACGAAGAACAGTGGCACGGTGAACTCCCTGATACCACGAAATCGAGCGATTTCAGTGAGTACATCACTGCCGTCGGCCGCGATGCTTCATGGGGCTCTACGCTCGAGATCCGTGCTTTGGCACGCCTCTTTGACGTTAGGATTGTGATTTTTCCGAGGCAATTTCATTTTCCTGTGGCTGCTGTTCATACACAGCAAAAGAAGCGCATCGTGGTGCTTTTGCATAACGGCTATCATTTTGATCTTCTCAAACCGGCTGAAGGCCAAGCTTGGCCTGCTGAAATCCGCGAGGTATGTGCGGAACTGCCGCCCACCATGCGAGGAGGTGGGCCTTCTTCTGCATCAGGCCGCTCAGGAGGCACTGTTTGGACTTCCCCGCAACTGTCGGGAAAGCGATCGCAGAAAACCGCTTGGACCCTCATCCCCGGAGGAGGTGGGGACAACAGCTGCCGTACAGTCTGGACCGACGAGCCGGCTGCCTCTGTTTGCCATTCGGTCTCTGTGCGCCCCTCGACTGCACAAGGCACGATTAATCTTGAGGCTGTGCCGGAGGAGGAGCCTGATGCATCTGTCCCTGCCCCACCCCGCAAGCGTTTCAGACCGCAGGTTCCAGGTGATACGCCCAACAGGCAGGGTTTCTATGTCTGCAGACTTTGCCCCTTCAAGAAAAAGGTTCGCGATCAAAAACATCTTTCGCTTGTTCGCTATGCCCACTGCACCAGGTTTCATGCTGGCCAAGGTAACCCAGGCCCTGCTCGACGCCGTGAGCCTTATGTCATCCCTACTGCAGGCAAGCGAGGCAAGTTTGCTTGGAAGTGTCAATGGTGTTCCTCAGGCATTCGTGAAGCTGTGGCTCAGGCAGCCTCCCAGGTCATGCTGGACCGTGCCGTTGCAGAGCATATCAACAAGGAGCACTCTGATCAACCAAAACCACTGCGACAACAGGTTCGTTTCGGAGTTTCGAGGGCTCAAAAGAATCGTGTGCTCAAGTGGAACAAAGCGGTTGCTGATCATTTTGCCCAGCGGTCCGAGCTCCTTGCTCGTGGTTATGAAAGCTTCCTTTGGCCGAGAATCAAGACCTTTAAAAAGGGCAAAAAGGATAAGCGTCTTACCATTCTTCGAGCCTGGAGGTGCGGGGACTGCAAAGCCACTTTCAGCAATGTTGAACATCTGAAATCGCACAGCAAGTGCAGGCCTGCTTATACTGCCAAGGCCCGAGGTGCTAAGTTGCAACATCTTCGCAAGACCCAGACTTGGTGCGCTAAGCATCCTCACATGGTGCCCGAAGGCGACCTGAAGCAAATCTTTGATATTGCACGACGTGCTCTTAGGGGCGAGGAACTGAGGCAGCAGGTGTGATCAGGATAGTCACTTGTAATGTTGCTGGTGCTGGCGCTGCCCGCATCGAGCAAGTCTTGAATCATGTTGCATCGTTCGAGCCTGACGCCATCTCATTACAGGAGGTGGATGTTCCTGCCCAGGCGGCTGCGAGTTTTGCACGGGCCTGGAAGAAGCACGGCTGGCATGTTTTTCTCTCGCGGTCCGAGCCGCGGTCGGGATTGCATCGTGTGGCCCTTGCTTGCAAACTCCATTGTCGCCCTGTCTCGTTGGACACTGACCTTGCAACCACGAGACATGCAGCTGTTTTACTAGATGCCCAGCTCCCGGGGACCCCTACCCAGCGCAGGCACCTGCTGCTTGTTGCTGCCTATGGCTTCCCAGGGGATCTTTGCAGTACCAACATAATGCTTGAGGAGTTGTCTACGGCTTTCCGAATTTTTGGTGGCTCTTTTGCTATGTTTGGCGACATGAATCAGGTGGCCGAGGAAGGCTCTCTCGCCCGGCTTGCAATGGGCGGTGCCCTCAGACTTTTGGATGATGCCCGCCCCACACAACTCCGCCCCACCAACCCAACCCGCACTAGGCGAATTGACTTCGGTGTTGCTGATGCCTCTGTTTTTGCCACCGAGTTGTGGCACGCGGATGGTCTGTGCGATCATGTTTCGGTTGGGTACCAACTTGATCTTCATAGCCACTTTGAGGGTTTTACTCTGCCGCGACGTGCCCCTGTTGAAGAGGCCTCGCCCTCTGAAGTTGCATTGCGCTTTGACCGGCTTTGGCAGGCTGATGCTTTTGCACAAGCCCTCTCTGTGGGCGATTCAAACCGAGCCTGGTACCTTTTGTCTCAAACGGCTGAACAGGCCCTGTGCCCGACGGCCAATGCCTCATCTGTGTTCCCACGCTGCGAGCCGTGTGAGCCACAACCCCACCTGCTTAAAAAGTCGCAGGCCACCCCAAAGGGACACGAATCTCGAGGTGTTCAGGGCCTTCGCCGTCTAAGCAATCGCCTTCGAGAGCTCATCAGAACTCCCCGTGACTCTTCACTTCGTGCTCGTGTCACTGCTTCGCTGAGGGGTTTGAGGAGCCTTGTACCTGAGCTTCCTCTCTTACCTGCAGGTCGCGAAGAAGAGGCCTCAAGTGAGGTCCAAGCCCTCCTTGAAAAGTACCAGGCCCAGGAGCGTGCTGCTGCCATCACCTCATGGCGTCGTCAAGTGCAGATGTCCAGTAGCCGCCAAATTTCTTGGGTTAAGGCTAGAGCTGAACAAGCATGTGCCATTGAACAAGCCCCGGCTTCGCTTCATAAGGCCATCTCTGCAATCCACCCAACAGCGATCATCAAGCATCAAGGGCAGGCCTGGACTAAGTTGTGGACCGCTGACCCGGAGGCGACTTTCGACGCACCTGTCATGCGAGACATCGTGCAGGCTGTGCCCCAACGTGAAGCCTGGTCTGACATCATTGAGTTGACATCCGAAGACCTCCAGGCCTGTGCGCGGCGCATGGCCCGGAAAGCCGCGGGCCCGGATGGCTGGAGAACTAGTGAGTTCCTCCTTCTACCATTTTTATGGTGGGAAGGACTAACAAACCTGTGGCGACACATTCTCAAAGGAGGGTCCATCCCTTGTGAATGGAGGCGTGGCATTGTCGCCTTACTGCCAAAGAAGGTCACCGCAACAAGGCCGATAGGCCTCCTGCAGACAGCCTGGAGGCTGGGGGCAAAGGCTTTATGCACACGCCTCAAGCCGTGGATCAACACGTGGGTCTCGCATGCTGCATTTGGCGCCGCGCCGGGGTTCTCGGCTGCAGATGCCCATTACCGCATCTACGGGGCTCTGAAACGGCGGGTTAAGGGCTTCGTGGTCCAAGATCTCAAGGGATTTTTCGATCACTTACACCTTGACTCCATCACGCCTCTGCTGTCGAGGCTAGGAGCCCCGCCGAGCTTACTGATGCTGCTGCAGTCCTTCTACAAGGGAGGGCAGCGGCTCTTCAAGGCACAGGGCTATGTTGCCTCTGCTTGGGTCCCTGTCAGCAGGGGGTTGGTTCAGGGCGATCCGCTGTCGCCTTTGCTCGCTTTGGTCGTGGGCCATTTCTGGGCAGCCTACACCTTAAAGGATCAGGCCAAAGGAGTCATGTTCGTTGATGATCGGCTCCTTTGGGTGGAGGGCGACTCTGATTGCACCCATCACATGAGAAGTGCAATCGAGCGATCCAACGCTTTTGACGCCGCTTTTGGCCTGATCTGCGAAGCATCTAAATGCTCTGTTGCCACTCCCCCGGGTACCCACGAGTACCAGGCGCTGGCTCGTGAGCTTGGCTACCCGCAGCGGTCTTCGCTAGACATCCTCGGAGTCAGCATCCAGATGGGTGCAGGTTTCGGCTCACCCCTCAAGCTTTCCCTTGACAAGGTGGTTTGGCGACTCAGGTACCTTAAACTCCTCCCGGTGCCCCTTAAGCGCAAGACCCAGCTCCTTTGGACCCTAGCCTACTCTAGTGTCTACTGGTGTGCTGGCGTCGCGGCTCCGGCCCCTGAGGTCTTTGGCTTGCTTCGGCACGAAGCTTTAGCCATTTTCAACAGTAGTTTTCCCCCTGAGGTGCCTCAGTTCCTAAAGCACACCCTCTTAGGATGGAACACCGACCCCGACTTTCTCTTGCAGTACACTGCTCTCCGTAAAGCCGCCAAACTTGTTACCCACCGGCCGGCCTGGCTGGACGAGGTACCTTTGACTGAAGGTGTGGACCCCTGGACCGTCCAGCTGCCGACTGCACAACTTGCTTTGGAGCAACTTGGCTGGCAAGCACTGCCACAAGGTGCGGGCATCCAGAGGCTTGACAGCACAGGCACCTGGCGCCAACTGTGGTTTGGCTTTGACAGTTTCAAAACACTGCGACACTGGCTTGAGGAGCATCATACTGCAAAGGGCGTCTATGCCTGTAACCGCATCAGACGCAGCCTGCACCGCGAAGATGCTACGGCTGCTCGGGGCTTCTGCCTCCCTGGCCCGCCAAGGGGCGCTGCTTTTAGCTTTGAGGCACACCGCAAGGCTTTTTTCAACCCGGTAGGCTTGGCCCACAAGAGGGCTGCAGCAGCGGCTGGCGCCAGTTTTTGGTACACTCGTAGGCTGGCAAGGTGCCGAGACCTCCCCGATGCCCAGGCCCAGTTGTGCCTCTGTGGGGGCTTGATGCCCTCCAGGGCCTATCTGACATGGACCTGCCCAAGCCTCCAGACTCTCCGTGCCGCTCACGAGTTGGATGAGCCCAAGGACCGCGCTGCTGAAAGACTGTTTTCACCGGCACACGATGTCTACCCACCGGCCCCTGCGGCTGTTACTGATGATGGCGAGGCTTTTGCTCAGGCCCTCAAGCTGCACTTGCAAACGTCAGGTTCGCAGGGTGTTTTTGTGGCTACTGACGGTTCATCATGCGAAGATGTCGGAGGGTCGGCAGCTGTGCTTTTGTCTGGCAGCACCCACCTTTCTTTTGGCATTGATGATGACAGCGAGGACCAAACCAGTTTTCGTGCTGAGGTGCTGGCCCTGAGATTTGTGGCTCAGACTTTGCAGCTTTGTGCCCTGGCAGGTTCCTGTGGGACCCTCTACGTTTTGAGTGACTGTCAGGCTGCTCTGCAAGCTCTCAAAAATCCAGCTTCGTCGAGTTTGCCGCTTTTGGCCACTCAGACGGCTGATGCCTTTGCGCATGCTCAGAACCTCGGGCTCACAGTTCACTTGAAATGGTGCCCTGCACATGGACGAAGTGAGGAGTGGAAACCTGATTTCCCTCTTACTGCGCCTGCCTGCAGAGCCCTCAACGAGAGTGCTGATGCCAAGGCCAAGGAGGTGATGCATCTGCGCCGCCGTGGTTCTGCCCGGGCCCTTTGGCACAACAAACATGCCGAAGTTTCGGCTTGGAGCACTGGTGCAATCAAGCTTTCGGCGTGTGCCGGTGATGCGTATGCAGCCGCTCTGACCAATCGGAAGGTGGCCCGTCTGCAACTGCTCTACGACGATGAGGACGATGCCGAAGGCCATCTTTAGCCTTTGGCCCTGCCAGACTTTCTCTACGACGACTTTTTCCAGCCCAGCCTGGTGGTGGAGCCGCCCTTCGTCTACGACCTCTTCGTGGTGCTCTACTACAAGCGGCGACACTGGGCAGTTTGCTCTACAACTTCTGGTGGCAGGCTCCTGGCAACTGCGACTTCGTGTCCGAAAGTACCTGCTGGGGAACTGTGGGGTTTTTCAGCAGCAACTTTTTCCTGCTCAACTTGGAGGGTGGAGGCCTTTCACGTCTACGACCTCCTTTGTGTGCTCTACTACAACTGGTGGCGGCCGGGTTCAGCTTGGTGGCTCGAGGAGTCCTTCGTCTACGACCTCTTTGTGGTGCTCTACTACAAGTGGTGGCGACCTGACTCAAGTGCTCCGCGACCTTTGGTGGCAGCTCCGTCAGGCGACTACGGCTTCAGGCTTTGGTGTACTTGGCGGAGCCCGGCAGTTTCGTGAACCTGCAGGGGAACGGCTGGGCTTTTCAGCAGCAACTACTTCCCGCTCAACTTGGAGGGTGGAGGCTTTCTTCGTCTACGACCTCCTTACTGTACTCTACTACAACTGGTGGCGGCCGGGTTCAGCTTGGTGGCTCGAGGAGTCCTTCGTCTACGACCTCTTTGTGGTGCTCTACTACAAGTGGTGGCGACCTGACTCAAGTGCTCCGCGACTTTTGGTGACAGCTCCCTCAAGCGACTACAGTTTCAAGCTTTGGTGTACTTGGCGGAGCCCGGCAGTTTCGTACTACTACTGGTGGCGACCTGGTTCAGCTTGGTGGCTCGAGGAGTTCTTCGTCTACGACCTCTTTGTGGTGCTCTACTACAAGCGGCGACCTGACTCCAGTGCTCCGCGACTTTTGGTGACAGCTCCCTCAAGTGACTACAGCTTCAAGCTTTGGTGTACTTGTCGGAGTCTGGCAGCCTCGTTCAACGGCGACTTTGCTCAGCTTGCCTGGTGTGTGGAGACGTTCCTCGTCTACAGCCTCCTTGTGGTGCAACTACATGGGGGACGACTTGAACTGTGTGCTCTGCGACTTCTGGTAAAAGCTCCCTCAGGCGACAACGACGTCAGCTTTTGCCGTGCCTGCAGCTGGCTCTGTTGCAAGGGCGACTTCGGCTCGCCCAACTTGGTGAGAGGCCTTCCTCGTCTAAGGCCCTTCGTGGTGCTCAACTACAAGTGGTGACGACCCGGGAGGCGTGCTCTCGACCTCCGGTGAAAAGCTCCAACAAACAACTACGACCCAAAGGTCAGTTCGAACCCGCTTGGTCCTGAGTTTTTCGGGACCCCTGGGCTGCTCGCTGGCTGCTCGGTGGCTGCTGGCTCGTCGGCGGCTTGGCGCGGCGCCAGGACTTCTGAAACCTTGCAGCGAGCTGTTCTGAGTCTGTACGGCCAGCTTGTTCCTGTAGTGCTGTGGTCTGCACTTGGCTGCTGTACAGTCCTCTTTCGAAGCTCGTTGCTTTTCAACTCCAGCTCGCTTGGCTCAGCTGTGTGAAGTCACCAACTTTCTAGGTGACTCTCGAACTTCTGTACAGTTTTTGACGTGACGGCTACTCCGTAGCTGTAACCACAACTTAATGCTTGATAGCTCTTTGCTACAGCATTCTTTTACTGTAAGCTGCACTGCAGCCTGGCTTCGGCATGTACAGCTCGTTTGAACCACTTGTTGAGCTCGGCAGTCTCACTGTCTGACAGTCTTGACTTCGCTCGACTTGTGCAACCTTCAAAAAAAAAAAGTCAGGATCACAGATAGGCGCATG